GGCCCAGCTAGTCAGGTTCCTACCCTTGAACTTCCCAGCAAGGTGTTCATGAACATGCCTGCCATCACACCGACAACTTACAAGTCCTAGGGCGAGCTGCTGCAGCGTCGTCACAATTCTTGTCGGCTTTAGGACAGGTTTGTCCGTATTGGGTGCTCTCAAACCCATAGCGCATTGGTCAACTCGGACTTCCCATGCTTGCTCCAAAGACAACTCGGCCCATGCCAGAGACGACAATGGATTCTCAGCATGACAGTGTCCACCCAGCGCACATTGGAGATTCCAAGCTTCTGAAACATTATGCAAGTATCTGCGTGCCACTGCACGTTCATGCATGATTAGTTGACATGTTCGTGGATTCTTGCTCATGTTCAAGCGTGTCCATGGACCCCAATGCTTGCAGGGAAAGCTAAACCACAAGTGATCAGGCCGGCACCAGGCTATTAAAAGCAAGAGACATCGGCGATCATGCAAACGTGTGAAGTCCTGCCCGTACTTAAGACCAAGTCTAATGGCTGTCTTTCCGGACTGCTTTTCATAGACATCAGACATTCTGGCACGATCAGTGAAATCCTCAATCAAGCCAACTTTCGAATCAAGGCATTTGGCTTGGTCTCCTAGCCAGGTGGCCAGTTCGGCTTTGACTTCTTTTGGATTGGTTGCCAGGCGTGACAGCGTCAAACGAAGTGTTGTGTTCCTCAAGGAGTTGAGGTGCTTGCGCAGCTTGGCATTGACGGACTCAGGCATAGGCTGCTGTTGCTCTAAGTCTACCCAACTAACTTCTTCATCATACAGTTGTTCAGTGGTTAAACTATTATCTTTGTTGGGCATGTCAATTATGTCTTCATCATTACAACAAAAACAAGCTGGCTGATTGGCACACACTTCGGCATCTTCGGATCGGCTGTCATTCAAATCGGCACTTGGGGAAACTGCTGGTGAATCAGCGGCTACTGACTCAGCTGACATGTATGCAAAAATTGCTACGCTCATTGAATTCACAGGCCGTCGATCTGGTGATGGTGGTCTTGTCCTCCATGGAGACACTTGTAAAGACCCAGACAACTCCAGTGACGCAACGGACCCTTCAAAGGCTTGAACATCAGCATGGGGAGGAACCCTTTCTTTCTTGGGCTTATATGCTACGGCTGCATGGATTATCTTCCCCTGTTTTACCCCAAATATCTTTGCCAATTGACTTGCATGGACAACAACATCAACAACCCCATTCTTAGTATTCTTCACAATTGTTTGGAAATCCCTTTTCTTATCTAATGGAGTGTTATGTTTACAGCTTTTGGAACATGTATGACCCTGGGACTCAGAGTCCTTGGCATTGGATACAACTGCGGATGCAGCGGCATTCGGATTGGGCTCATTCATCTCTGTATGGTCGCACTGTCCAATCTCCAAGTCATGTGGAGGCTCACACAACGGTAACAGCAAGTGCCCGTTAGAGGCTTGTCGAAGAGGGGCACAATCAAGACCATGTTTCTTGGAGGAAATAGTTCTATTCTTCAGGTCAATGATGGCTTCCATAGCTTCCAGCACTCTTCGGGACAAAAGGAATGGTGTGACTCCAGGAATGACATAGGTGGTAATGCTACCCTGTAAATTCCCCAAACAGACTGTTCACTTCAAACCAGTTGTAGTTGTTTCGGTCTTCCCATTGAAACCTTTGAGCTCCACGGCCGGCAGTTGCACCTCTTGCGGAAGAGGAAATCCAACATCCATGAAGTGCTTCTTCAGCTGCTGGGCTGTGGCATCACCGATAACGGAGGTAGTGCACCCAGTGTCAATGATTGCATACCCTTGTGGAATCAAAGCCAGGAAAACATCTATTTCTTCGGGGGTCATCTCATCCATAGTCTTTGATTCATCAACCACATAGGAAAAATGCGTAACCAATTCTGACTGGGTATAATTGGCATCCTCCTTCCGGTTCGGAGGTTTCTGATTTCTGGAATCCCGTTTCTTGAACTGGTCCTTGCGATCAGATTTGAAGGGCTTTACAGTGCTTTGTTGGCTGCCGGATGCAGCTGATGCATTGTCAGGGGGCATGGCAACAACTGGATAGTAGGAACTATAGGTCCAGCACGTGATTTCTTGATGTCCTTCACCTTTTTCTTGGATTCCTTGTAAGTTCTAAAACTCTTCTTGAAATCTTTCTTGGCTTTTCGTTGAATCTCAAAAATCTCAGCTAGTTCATCGTCATCACTTTCTACTGATTCTTGAACCTCTTCCCCAACCAAAACATCATTGTCATCCCCATCAGATTCTGATAGTGGTAACTCCAGTGAAGAGCTATCGTCCATCTCTACTGCAAAGGCTTCACGGCGACCAGGCTTTAACTGAGGCTTCTGAAAACGTCGATCTTGTTCACGCTGATCTTCAAGGTCAGATGCACGAAGAATTCGTTCAACATCCAGGAAACGAGAACTGCCACCTGTCGATCTGATGACAAGTGCACGTTGCTCCCTGTTCAAACCAAACTTACGCATGAACAAGTGACCCAAAACTGACTGTGGGAAAATCGGCTTTGGCTTCCGGTGAGAAGGCTCCAGTGTGCCCAGCATGCGTTGCATTTCACGCTGATCTCTGTCACGATCACCTTTTGCAGTACCAGTGGATCTTTTTGTCATGTGGGACTTGCCAGATTTGTGTGAACCCCTAGCTGACCCAAACTCCGATGGACCTCTTGATGGGCCTCTTTCAGAAGGTGTCGGTGTGGCACCTGATCTGGGCGCAGCTTCACTCTTCGCAGCTGCTTTGGGTACAGCTTCAGACGGCTCTGCAGGATCAGCTCCAGATGGTTGCTCAGGCTGAGCTGACTCTGCTGTCGGTTCACCAAGATCTGCATCATCGGTTTGGTCCGCATCATGTGGAGAGCTCGGACTGGATTCATCTAAGGAACTATCGACAGGTGTGGCTGGTTCCAGACGTCGACGTTCCCCACCACGTTTTCTACGCTTTGCACTTGCATTCTCACGTTCGGATTGGATCAGGGTCTCAAGTCTTGCGAGAGCAGTTTTGAATCTTGCAGAAAATGCTGTAGTGCCTTCTTGCGGCTTCTTCTTGAGGTGAAAAAGGAAATCATCAATTGATTCATGGAGTTCAACTTCAGGAAGGTGTTTGTAATGTTTATCCAAACATTCCAGTACTTTTAGCCAACCTTCTTTCGACCTCACCTGTGCAATTGAAAGATGCTCCGTGCACCTCCAAGCTTCACCAGTTAACCTGCTAAGCAATTTCGGTCCAGCAAGATGTTGATTCTTGTCCTCCAAGGCTGCAACGGACAAAATCACCTTTCTACGAAACTCTCTGTATGACCCAGGCCTGCCATCGAACGTCAAATCCTTAAAAGGATCTTTGTTGTCCACCATCGGACAAACACAACCACCAAAGGACGGGACTGTCCAACCTCACAAGCAATGATTGCAAACAGCTATCGATGCTTCACACCACGGGCACAGTGAAGTGCCTCGTCCAATTTGGCGTCACAACGCCCGGGACCTTACTGCCCCGCTGCCATGATAAACCGAAAGGTTCAAGCGCAAGTCGCGCCCCACTTTTCCACTCACCTGCAACGGAATCCACAGCCTTACACCAATTGGTGCAGGCTCAAGGGCCCTTGGTCCATAGTGGCCACACGAGCATGTTATATTGGGAATGCACCTGGAAGGTTATGAGTAAGCATGCGAACAGCACTGAACTTACCTGCATTTTAACAACCGGTATACCCCCCAAATGGTGATTTTGATTGGTAAAGTAATCATGAACCAGTGGATTTAGGGGTACCCTATCACTGCTTTCAGCGAACTGTATGCAACACCATGGAAAACCATGCAACACCTGCTGGGTTTTTTGAAGGGACAGTAGCCTTGCAATTGCATGGATCATACACCGGTTTGACTGGGAGTTTTGACAGGATTACACACAAACCAAATAGACGAATACAGCCAATATGATGCATCTAGCCAAATATCGGGTCGTTCTATGGTTCTGTCTGGTATATGCATAGTTATACACATCATGTCATGTAAATAAGTAAATGTGTATATATATATATATAACTATGATGTGTATAACATTACATTACATTACATGATGTGTATAACTATGATAAAACAAACCCGTCAATCACAAACATATATATATAGGTATTTTGCGATTGACGGGTTTGTTTTGCCAGCAACCGGCTTCTAGACATTGTGGTCATGTGATGCCACCACCACTAGCCCTGGGTAAGTGTAACTCTTGGGCCTGACTTTGAGATGTTGATGTGTGTTTTTGTGGAAGACATACCCTCGGTAAACTAACATAACTATGGAAAAACACATTTTTTTAACATTGGCTGATTTGGAAGCAAAGTCATTATTTCGTATGCAGTCTTGGTGTATGTCCACCGCCTAAGACTCAAGACATATTCAAGCGAAGATCTGCCAAGCATTCACGTGCCCGCGCCGATGTGGATGACACCTGCGGCAATGGCGGGAAGTGGAAAAAACAGTTCGGGTCGGAGTGATGGGTCATGATGGGCGGACACATGTCCAAACGTATGATAATGTGAATGATTATACATTATGCAAGCATGGTTCACAGACCATCTCCTTTTTTGTTGGTAAAGGATGATGTTGTATCATGTTGTATCAACATGTATCAACATTGAATTTATACACAACTTTCCTGATTTGTTGCCCCCATATCCCCTGGGCAGAAAACAGAAGGAAATCCCAAAAAGGCCACATCGGGATAGCCATCAATCCTCAGCAGTACCCGATTATATGTGTGATACCCGTGATACATATTGGGGGGATATGAATATCCCATAGTTTTGGTGAGTATTACAGGTATCATACATAAAATCGGTTTATGAATATCAAAACTCTGGTACTATGGTCTTTACATTTTCTGTTGGTCTTCAAGATAGTTTCCCAGAGTTTTGATCCATGGGCTATTGGGATTGTGCATGGACCAGTTGCATCATCCACCACTTTGGCATGGCCTTTCCGGCCATGGTCATGTCTTGGGAGTCTTGGGAATGGCTTGAAATCGTCATCAGCAATCGCGAGCCGGCAAAAAAAGAGATAATATGGGTGAGCGTCCCAGTACATAGTTTCTGGCCGGGGATGCAGCTGATCTCACCAACATGGCCAAGCGAAAACGGAGATCTTGTCTAACATTGCCCGACATGGATTGTTGCGTTGCTTTACTGTATATTGGTTGTAGTATACTAACTACCCCACTTTAGCTGTGATTTTAAACATTATGTGATATTATTTGTATAATCCATACGATCAACCAATGACTATACCTGGTGGTTTGGTGGTAGTTTGGACATGTTTGGACTTCCCTTCCAAAGATAAATGGAATTGACGTACTGTAGAATGTGGTGCCCCATAGTCATAGTTATGTTTGTTGGTTTATAAACCCCATGATCGAATACATATGAATACTATAGTTATAATTATATCCACCAAAAACATCCATAGGCCATATATAGTTAACCTAGCTATACCATCACTATCCATTAATATAATATACCATTTAAATACCATTACTACACCCACATTGTAGATACTCCTCCAGAACTCCAAACCAAAATCACAACACTTCCCAGGAGACGCATCTCCTCTGGGACGGACTGTTGGCCAGTGCTGGACAAAGTCTGCCGGCCACGCTACAGTGCCCTGTTTTTCAAGTGAGTTGGACTAGTCGGACTAGTTGGACTAGTTGGACCATCAATGGCCCAACTTAACTTCACTGATTATGGTTTTGTTTGTTTTTCTGTAGTTACGTCACTAAGTCAGTCATGGTAAGTCGTATTTTCTCGATCCATGGGGAGCCTTGGGAACAATTTTTCCGTGCAGGTACGAGGGACTTGGTCCTGCAGTGAGCGAAGCCGCCGAGGTTGGGTCGGCAAAATCCCGAAAACGATGCCGTATTTGGTATAATTATGGTGGTTTCCTAAAATGGGGGTACACCAACAATTGATGGTTTAGAATGGAAAATCCTCCTAAATATATATACTAACCAACCAACAAATGGTGAATTCTCCATACAAAAATATGATTTGACTGATGTTTGAACAAAAAACATTCATATTATTTCATATTATCCACATATATGAGTTTAGAACTCCTTGGACCCCAAACTGATTCAGAAAACCTCTTTGAATTGATGCAGCTGCCTTTGGGCAGTAGATCCACATTTACCCTCTGGTCATTTCACATAGCTATGGAACATGGCCCATTCATAGATGATTTACGCATATATCATACATACATACATGTATATATATATTATATACACATGTGCATATATCGTATTTATCTTGATTGTACCTCCTTAACATGGTGAATGTCCAGTTGGCAAACCGTTCGGTTTAACCGGGTCTTAGTGATTGGTTGGCGGTTCACTGGTTCACCACGTTTTGGACCCGATGATCCCAGAGGCCTCGAGACAACTTCCTCTCTTGGACTTTCTGGCTGCTGCGTTGCTGCTGCGGATGAGACGTCCGAAGTCCCAGATGTGGCTGCCGCAGCTGCGGTGTTTCGCTTTTCACCGGTTGATCCGGCTGGGGGTCCATAAATGGGGGGTACCTCAATAGCTGGATGGTTTATGGAAAGTCCTATTAAAAATGGATGATTTGGGGGATGCCCCACATTAGGAAACCTCCAAGTCATTGGTTCCACCCTCATTTTGGATGTTTTTGCTAAGGAAAATTATGATCAAGCAGAGGATTTTTTTGGACACCCTATGTTCAGAGAAAGCCACTTCAAACAATGGGATGGTTGGTTCATTACCAACCGTTTTCAAAATAAGTGTTTTTCTGGGCTTTAGATGATGACCCGTGCTCAAAGCGATTCAGGTGTTGATTTTGTTCTTTTCTTCTTGTCGTTGCTGTTGTTGTTGTTGTTGTCGTTGTCGTTGTTGTTGTCGTTGTCGTTGTCGTTGTTGTTGTGGTTGTGGTTTTGGTTGCCGTTGTTGTTGTTGTTGTTGTTGTTGTTGTTGTTGTTGTTGTCGTTGTTGTTGTTGTTGTGGTTGTTGTTGTTGTTGTTGTGGTTGTTGTTGTTGTGGTTGTTGTTGTGGTTGCTGTTGCTGTTGCTGCTGTTGCTGCTGTTGCTGCTGTTGTTGTGGTTGTTGTCGTTGTTGCTGCTGTTGCTGCTGTTGCTGCTGTTGTTGTTGTGGTTGTTGTCGTTGTTGTCGTTGTCGTTGTTGTGGTTGTTGTTGCTGCTGTTGTTGTGGTTGGTTGGTTGGTTGGTTGGGGTTGGGGTTGGGGTTGGGGTTGGGGTTGGTGTTGGTGTTGTTGTTGTTGTTGTTGCTTTGTCCATTTTTGTCCATCTTTGTTCTCATTCATGCTGTGACATGTTGTTACTATGTTATTTTTTCTAATGTTCCTTTGTCATCCTAAGTTTCCTTATGTTTTCTCTTTTTGTTCTTGTACTGTTTTCATTGTGTGTCTTTTCTTAGAGTCTTGTCATGATTGCCCTGCCTAGCTTCGAAGTTCTCATGTTTTAAGGAAATAATAGCTAATTTTGTTTTGTGTTTGTCAGCACTCAAGAGGCATACAACCTGATGTAGTGCGAAGCATTGTCATGAAGTCCACCATGGAGACTAAGTAGACAGGCTGGTGGAACAAGTAGATCATCAAGTTGGGATTGGCATTGACTTGTCCACCCCCTCAATGGCATGTCTAAGAAGCAACATGAAGCAACATTTCTGAGCGAGAATGTGCAGACAGACTTCCGATATTCTTTGTTGTTCATGTGTATATAATATGTTTTCGTTGTTTTGTAGATTTTCTTTTTCTTTGTTTCCTTCTTCTTTTTCTTCTTCTTCTTCTTATTCTTCTTCTAAGTTTCTTTACCCATTTATTCTGTATTTGTTGATTTTCTTGGCTTCCCGGACCCATTTTCTTGCGGTTGCACATGCGGGGCCAATGCAGGGTTTGGTTTTCCCTTTGCTCCAGGAGAGTTATTGAGACTCGACCAGACGGAGTGTTTGCGAAGCTGGGTCCTGAAAATGGGAGATGGAGAGTAGCAACTAAAAAGGTGGTCCAATAATGTGGTAACATGAACAACAGGAGATTCTCTATCTAGTCATTGTCAATACGGTACATCTCTGGTCTGCAAAGACCAGGGGTTGTACACATTGATAAAACGACCCAAACCAACTTTGTCGCCCTCGGTCGACACTAAGAGGATTGGGTGGAAGATGGGGATGCGACCACAACTGCGAAGACAATCATCAACTCAAGCTTGAAGTTCACGACGCTGAGACCGCATGGAGTAGAACGTTTGACGGTATGAAGATTAGAGGAGCTTCCTGCTACCGTTTGCCACGGCTTCAAAGTGCTCAAAGTGAGCTCTCAAGAGCAGACGACAGAGGCGGAGTTTGACCATTGGTGGCTTGGTGATCACAAGTACCTCTCGTTGGGGTGAGATACATGAGCAGCTCATGCGCATCACCAGTTCTCCAGAATCACTTCACCGCCTATGCTGTTGATACATCCCAAGCAGTGGATCCATGAAATTTCATGTGCTGCAAAGCTATCCATGGATCAGCGAAGTATGATTTCTACATCACGAATCCACAATCTGTGGGGCCCCCAGTGCCAGTCAAAATTAAGTTGGTTTATGTTCCCCCATCCAACAGTATATATATATATATTATATATATACATTATATTATATATCCACCTCTTTAGCCCAGCTAAATTGCAGATAAGTTACCCTCCAAGTTAGTGGTTGGTAGCGTGCTTTCTTGTTAGTATCATTACGTCATTACAAACCAATCCTAATTGCGATGATCAAGTTCCGTTGCTTAATCATGTTTTTCATGGGCATTGAAACCACCAATCAGTCATTATCTATAATAGAAGTTGGTTGAAACACCCATGAACTGTAGATATCACGCTATATCTTTACAAATCTACCATAACCCCTAATTATGTTGATTATAAATCGATTTAGCAAACCAAATCCCATTCAATGCCATTACATCCCACCATGCTTGCTTGTAAAATACCAAACTTAGCCAACTGAAATCAAATGTTAATCAATAAATTTATCATCAGCTATAAATCCCATTTGTGGTCGGTTTAAGTACCACATTTGTTGGTTTCCTATGGCTGATCCCGCCGTGAACCGCGTCGAATCTCGGTTTTAGCAGCTGCGCAGGGCTCCTGCGCAGCTGCTCCGAAGACCGGGCGGCTGAGCTTCTGGTGGAGGCCAAACGCCTTACGACAGGCGGGACCATCATGTTTTTGGTTTTTTATAGGGATTTTATAGTTGATTAATGATGATTAATGATGATTTATAGGGATTTTATAGGGATTTTATAGGGATTTTATAGGAGTTAATGATGATTAATGATGTTTTATAGTGAGTTTAATGAGGGTCAATATTGGTTTTATAGGGTTTTTTATGTGATTTTATAGGAACTAATGATGATTCATGATGATACATTATTATTATGGCTAATGATGATTAATGATGTTTTTGATGGGTGTTTTGAATGTAAAGCAATATTTAATAAACCGCCCATATTTTGATGGTTTATATCATCCATGTTGATTTTGGGGATGGTTTACTATTTGGTTTCACCATATACGGATTTTATAGTGAGTTTCATGAGGGTCAATATTGGTTTTATAGGGTTTTGTAATGTGATTTTATAGGAATTAATGATGATTCATGATGATACATTATTATGAATTATGATTAATGATGATTAATGATGATTGATGATGATTAACGTTGATTAATGATGATTAATCATGGTTAATGTTGACTAATGATTATTAATCATGATTAATGGGTTTTGTTGACGTGGATTATTTTTGTTGGGGAATCTATAGGTAAAATGTGGGATAATACGTTTTCATGGAACTTGAATGTAACTTCAATGGGATTTTCATGGAAAATGGGACTGATAGGTGATTTAGTGGTGATCTAATGGGTTTTTAATGGATTGAAATGGGATTTTGATAGGATTTCAATGGGGTTCATGGGTTTTAACAATTATTTATGGGGTTTTAAGTTTTAAGCATCGGAATTTGGGAAAACTCTTGTTGACGAGTTCTGAAAAGTTGTGTTCCGACCATTATTTCGATGGGTGTAAGCAACAAACATATGGGGATATAATTGGAAACATCTAACTATCGAACAGTTCAGCGATGTCAATTATTGGTTAACCTTACCAACTTTGGTTGGCGAATGTACTATATGAGACCTGTATGTACTCGTACCTGTATATTGTCAGCTTGTTTTGATTGCTAAGGTTCAGCGGGAGTACAAATCATCAAGAATTCAATATTTCGCAACGTTCGATGGATTGGTCTTGACAAAAATACATGTAATAGAACCACAATGCTTTTCCATCAAAGACGTCAGAGTCCCTGTTTTTTCCTTCAAGTTCTTTTCAACAAACTTAAGTTTTCTTGCTAAACTCTGGGGGCCTTTCTCATTGATCTACTCCGATTGGCGCTTTGCGCCAGATTTAGACAGTTTGCATGAAGTTGGTTTCATGTTCATAGCCCTATTATCCCCGATTGAGACTTGCATCAAGATGCACCAATTCATCATGTGCTAGAACTGCTAGAAGCATGCTCTAGTTGTTCCGTTTATGATCCCATTAGACTAGCCTACACAGATTCTACGACGATACTCTCGCAAGCTAACATCCACAGCACAAAGTGATAGTCCTGACAATCAGCAATACAGATCAATACAGCATAATTGCTGGGAACCACAATTGATATATACAACAATAACTTATATTAACACTCTAATAGTCTATAACCCATAGGATCCATGTATGCTGTATATGGTAACATTTACCATCAATATACCCCCAATGTTAGCATATATACAATACATGGATCCTATGGGTAATACGACAATAATACACCAACACTTGTTATGCTGTAAATAGTCCAGCAACCATCGAGGTGCATTGTCCAGAGCTCCACCTGCTCCACTGAAGCAGGTGGGATATTTTTCTGGGACATGAGTGGAATATCAATGGGTATAATGGATTAAATGATGATTATATATGATTATCATGATTTAATGAAATATGATTCAGACTATTTATATTTATGGAATATATTTATTATATTATTGTGAATTTAAGATGTTTCAGATGACACAGTGAGGAGGACGGACGCCTCGTAATCAGATGCAGGGTCGAAATCACCAACGAGTTTGAGAAGGGCTCAATGAGTTCTCCAACTGGGGTGTTCCCTGGGCAAAGGGGCCATGACCAAGTTCAAAGGTAGTATTTACAATGTACTAGAGCTACTAGACTATATATATATGTCATATACTTCTCTATCATTATCTGGCGACAGATCTATCTATCTATCTATCAATCTATCAATCAATCTATCTATCTATCAATCAATCAATCAATCAATCAATCTGTCAATACAGATATCAATCTTTACGTTAGTTGCATCACCAGGAGAAGGTTGTCACCCGCAGGCGTCACATGTCCAGTCGCCTCCAACGGCCCCAGCCGCACCCGCTGCCCGACTGGGAGAAGCGTGCCTTGGCGGCCGCGCTGTCGGGCTGTCGTTGAAGGGGATATGATGACAACCCACACAGGGATGGTGTGGATGGTTGCAAAACCGGTCAAAATCCTGCACCAGTTGATAGATGGTTTATCCATGTTTATCCCATTATTCAAAGGGTTTAACCATGTTTAACCATCCTTTTGGTGGTGCAAGATTTCTTCCAACCACCGAATGTGCCATTCATACTGTATTCAATATGTGCGTGGGCCTTGGGCGGCCAGGCCGATTCATTTCCTGCCATGGTAACATATCATTCACCCTATCCCATCCCATTATACACATACTGGATGGTGAACATGTACCCCAATTATAGATATGACGTAGATATGGAGGTTTCCCAAAGTCATGGTGGTACCTCCAGTTACATCATCCATTCTTTCATGGTATTTTCCATGACAGTCACCATCCAGTGGGGGTACCTCCCGTTGTTGGAGCCTCCCCTGTCCTGAAAAGAGGCCGGTGAATTCAATGAGTTTCATCAAGGGGCACCAATATTGGTCAGTGTTGTTGTTTCCTAGACCAGTTATTTTGGTGATGTTTGGGAACTTAGAACACCTATATTTACAAAGATGTCACATCTTGAGATGTCTGGTTATGTTTGATTGTATATACACTATGTGTTTATTATCATATATAGACGGATCCGTATAAGTGTATATCCCCCAGCAGTTGATGTTCAAGATTGACATGTCACTCCTCCCCGTACCAAGCATCATTGGGTTTCCGGACTGAGGAACGACGAGGCGGCTGTGGGCAGACATGTGACAGGTGAAGTGAGTGAAGTGTGTAATACCTCGGAGACAAGATTTGGCTGTTGGTGGCTTCACTTATCGTGTTGATTTTTGATAGGTCGACTGGTTTCAAACAACACATGTGTGGCATTTGCTGAAGCAAGTTGGGTATAGGTCCAAAAAAAGTTGTTCAATCCAGATAATGTGCAAGACAATTTCACCTATCGGATCTATTCCCATTGTTGGCGGTGAGAAGAATAGGGTATGCAACAACACTGGAGCCCCTCAACCTTCGAAGCATCGTATTTCCAGGGTATGGCCACAAATTATGCTGAGGAAACAAGGAGGAACTGTTGGCATGGCAGATGCTTTGGGCATGTCCTCTGGGCCTTAGGGTTTTGGAGTTTGCCTAAACATTACATAGGTCTTGGACATGGTCCCAACCCTCCAAAACACCCCCAAATTCAATGGTTCAAACATGATCAAGCCCATATTTGTTGCTTGATAATGATGAATGTCACTTGAGTTCACATATTTGAATCACTTAAATTAAAAAATGGTTGCCCTTTGGTAATTTAACAGTTTGCTATAGAAAATGGTCCAGTAGATGATTTACCTATTAAAATTATGTTTTTCCATGAGTCCATAGCAATCATAGCAAACGGTTCAATTCCCAGAGTGCCCTCCAATTTCCAGTGGTTTGCCCCAACCAGGATCCCCTGCGCCGTGGGCAGCAGTTTATCAGTGCAGCCGCACAGAGTGCACAGGCAAGGATACTCTTCAGTAATCAAAGAAGGAGGGCTGGGAAATCCCGAACTGGAATAATCCAGTGGCCCAGTGGTGGGTTTTTCCAAGGCCTTATTGAGTTTTCGGGGGTTTTCTATGGGCATGTGATGGTCGACCTCATAACCCTGGTGATCGCAAGTCCCTGATTCGGGGGGAACCGCCATGTTAAGCCACCTAGAAATGGGTTAAAACATCGTTCAAACTCGTTTTACTAGTCAGTTACTTGTTACTGTAGGATCATTCTCTCAGGGAAACTGTTTGGCATGTCTGTTTTGGCCCTTTGCTAGGATGTTGTCGACAAGTTGAGAGTGGAGTCACCCATGGATGAGGTGTGTAAACAATGATTGTCATTGTGTTCTATCGATCTTCAGCTATGTTCGTCGTATTTTGTTGTTTTCTAATCAATGTTTTTTTGATGTCGATCGATGCTCATTGATGGTTATTGATGTTTGTGTTGTATTTAAACACATGGTTCCATTGTTTTTGAGGGTATCTACTTTATCCAGTTGAATCCAGTTTCAATAGTTGCAATATGTTACAAAATCCCACGGGTCACAGCCATACCGGTGGCAGTTGTAGTCACTCTCCACATTGAGATGAGAGTTTTTTCTATAGACCATTGACAAATTCCACCTTGCTTTTTCGAGGGGTCCACACGTTGGAATGTTCCCTTTTGTATTCTTGGTGTTTTACACTCATGTCTATCAGATAAACACTTGATCCAGGTTTGTTTGCTTTGATCCCAAAGACACCTTCGGACCTTCACTATTTCCGTGAACTCAGGTCGGTGTGGAAAAGCCATGGTTGCGTAGGAAAGGATCCATAAAGTGTTTGATGTCTTGCATATGGCAATGAACTGCAGGCAGGTGTATATCAAGGATATCCGACAAAGCACCCAGGCAGTCCAAACCTCGCCAAGCTTGAAATTCGCAGGGTCTGTTGCAAGCGGGGCGACAAGCCTATGCCAAACTTAGTGATCAGGTGCTGTTCGGAAGTCTGGAGTGGTTGGGAACATGCCAGCATGTTGATAGCCAAAATTCTTGATTCACTTCGGACTTTCATCTTTAGTTGATACATAGATCCTTACAATAACCATGGTGGTTCAATCTGCAGATTGGTTTATTCACTTTAGAGGCTCTTAAAGACTATATCATCTTAGGTGTTATCTACGCTTTGGTTCAAGCAGCATGCTACATCGTGCCAAGAAAATCAAGGGGCTCCAAAATTCTGCCTGAACATTAGCCAGTATGACCTGGTGCTCAACACATCTACATACATATTTCTATGTGACGTGTTTGCAAGGTCGGAAAATGAGGTACCCCTGAATCCACTGGTCATCATGGCTTTTCATAGCCATAATTTGGGGGTACTCGTATATCATGGTATACCGGTACACCCATTGCCAGACACCGCCATACACAGGCATACATTATCCCCATTCTATCCCATTTTGATGTTGTCATATTCAGGGGACATTTCAGGTACGTAAATTGGAGGTCGCTACTATATGTACGGTTTAAAGTAAGGCCTGTGTAAGGGAATATCCCAAACATATGCCATTCTGCCGTTCTGTTTGTACCTCCGTTTTAGGTACCTGCAATGGTCAGTGACATATCCATTCGCTTCATTGGAGGCTGTTGCAAAGTCACCAGCCGTGCAGGACTTCTCCTGTGTTTTTGCAGGGGATCCGGCTTTTGCCCTCCAGGGATGCACCAAACATCACCAAACGTTCTGATTTTCTGGAAAACATGTGTCACTACCAGCATGAATTTCAAAGATTTACATACACTTACCATCACTCTGTGATGTCTTGTACCTCATGTTTTGGCACACAAATGAGCAGGCATCATTGAGCGTCGACTCAAAGGTGCACTAAACCATTTGGTGATGCTAAAAAAACAAATTAAAATAGATTGCCATCATGGGCCCCGGTTTATTTGATCTGCAAGCTTCAATATATACCCCTAGGCCAATCAGAGAGTATTTTGTGGGGGGATTCCCGAATACATTGTGAGGAAAAACTGACAAGACCCGATGGATTGTGCCCACCAGGAGACAACAAGTTGGCATAAAAACGCCAAAGTTGGCGGATCAGCTAGGCCGCTCACACCTTTCAGGGCTCCTGATCTCTTCATGAGTTTTCCGATTTGTTGTCGGCCACTCCATCCTTTTTTTTGCCACACTGCACTCTTTTTGATCAACCTTTTCTTAGTTACCAGTTAACTCTTCTTCAACATGTTTTGTTTAGCTACCTTATTTTTCTGTTTCATCTATGGAGGTTTCCAAACATGGGGATACCCCTACATCATCCATTTAAATAGGTTTTTCCATTACAAACCATCTAATTTGGGTCACCCCCATCTATGGAAACACCTATATAACTGGTTGGTGGTTTCAAACATGTTTTATTTTCCATTTCATATATGGGATGTCATCCTTCCCATTGACGAACTCCATCATTTTTCAAGATGGTTAAAACCACCAACCAGAATATATTATAGTCTTATCCATCATTAACCATCATTATATAACTATTACTAACCATTATTAACCCTGGAAATCCCATTAAAATCCCATTAACCATCATTAACCATCATTAACCATCATTAACCATCATTAACCATCATTAACCATCATTTACATCTCTACTGCGGGCAAAAGAGGTCCACGTTGGCTGCTGCCAATTCCAGGATCCCCGTGGTGCATCCACCGGCACCAGGAGATACCAACCTGGGACCCTGGGGCGTGTGTGAAAATGGGATATGAACCCCCCAGCATTTACAGTGGATTTTCCCATTAAAAATGGTGATTTTCCATAAGTATCCACATTTTTACAGGGAAATTGGGATAAACCATGATAAACCACTGGATTTTGTGGATCCCAATTTTCAGACAAACCCATGTATGTATATGCGCTTCCTTGAAACGGGGACCTCAAACTTATCCAAACTGTGCGCTAGAAAATAGGGAACCAATGATTTTGGGATACTGTGACTCCGATTGTTGAGAAATTATATATGCGATAATAGCCTACCGAATACAGTAAGGGAATCTAACCATCAAAAATGGGATCAACTATGAGCCCAATGGATTTTGGCCAGAAATGAGGGACGTACACCCACTGTTGATGAGCGACATAATCATCTATGTGATTTTCAAGTATCTATCTTGGCACAGACCCATACGAATGTGGGGCAAAACCTGGACTAGGTGAACTAAAAGGTAACAGGATTTTGACCCATCCCCATATTAATGGTGATTTATGAACGATGTCATTGATGTCAACATTTGTGGGGGATAGAATGGGATAAACGGATAAACCTCAAAGACAGGTTTCACCATGATCAAACAAAGACCACCAATGATGATATCAATGATAGTTGTGTTTGCTTAAGCAACACACATTGGAGACATGGGTATGGGTCAAAATTAGGTACCCCAAAATTATGAATGGCTTAATACTAAACTAGACTTTTCCACCTGTGGTCCCCTTAACGGTCTTCCATTTTGAGCCACATCCACATTGGGATTCAGCAGACCAGGAGCCCTGGTCTGACACAGGTGCAACATGCTGGACCCGTAAACCTGGCGTTTCGGGGCACCGATAGCTGGGAACCGTAAGGGACCCACTTCCCATGGATGTCTTTTACCCTCTGGTGAACTAACATAGCAATGGAAAATGGCCCATTTATAGATGGTTTACCTATCAAAAATGGTGATTTTCCATTGCTATGTTAGTTCACTTGAGTCTTTTAAACACTTTTAGATAAGACGTTCCCTTGATGTACAGTGAATTATATGAATTTGTTGGCGATGCCTGCATGTTTTTGCAGGACATCTGGTTGGCAACGACTCCCAACTGGTTCTGACAAAACACTCCGGAAATCAAAGCTCGCAGTGGAAAGATCCCCATATTTATGTATATATATAATATAGATATTTAACTGATATTCATAGATTATTTTTCCCAACTTTTGCTCGGGGATTTCCCAGCCATGTTTGATTTCACCCGCGGTCGCGCTCTGTCGCCAGAGCATTGCCAACTGGGTGGACATCGACCTTTGGTCAGCTTGGATACTCAATGCCACCAAGATGATGCTAGATGAACCTTTCAAAAAGAGAAACACAAATTATTACCCTCTGGTAAACATACAAAAAACTATGGAAAATCACAATTTTTCATGGGAAAATCCACTATAAATGGTCATTTTCAATAGCTATGTTAAATTACCAGAGGGTAGACTATTTAAGACTATGCCTTTTGTTCGGGATCCTCATCAAAGTTCCAAGGTTTTGACATTGTACCTGTTGTGCCCCTCATTCAAAGTGGCTGTATCCCATAGACAGTTGATGCAATTCCAGTATTAATTTGGTGGAATTGAACAGGGTTTTATATGTGTTGTCTGTTTGCAGTCGAATGTTTGTTGCATTGCAGGGACTGTGTTATAGTGTTGAAATGTGTTGAATAAATTGAATAAATCATCCTGTCGGACATTCAAAGTGCAATTGCAATATAAAAGGCACTTAGTAGGAGTGCCTTTTAGGCCTTGATAAAAGTGTGGGTAGTTTCTCGACGTGCAAGATGCTGAGAGGAACTATGGTCGATCCAAGCTGCCATGAGGGTTTTCATGGATACCGTGAAGAATGATAAAGCTTATATATGTAGCAAAAACATATTTCTGCGGAGGTTAATGTCAGTTAACTATGTACAATTTTTGGTTTAAATTCTACACAGAACGGGGGAAATCTTATCAACCAACCTGCCACAATAACTATAATCATGTACAGTATACATAGACTTATGGTTATGAACTATGAACTATGAATTATGAATTATTATACTGTGATATTGTGAGATATTATATTCAGTTATGTTTTAATCGCCGGCACCAGAATGATCATCGCTATCACCAGCATCACCATCTGAGGACAAGGCTTCTGGCCCACAGGAGACCGCAGTGGTTGGTGGTTTGGAACATGTTTTTTTTCATATTGAAAATAATAATCCCAACTGACTTTCATATTTTTTCAGAGGGGTAGGTATACCACCAACCAGTCATGGTTTATCAGAATTTTGCTTATCAGAAGTGATTTTTCTACCCATGTCTTGAGAAACCCACATATTTTTGGGTGGGCATTGCAGTGACTGGTGATTATGTATGTTGATTGATGTTGATTGCCTTGTTGGTAGAAGATTCGGTCACCATTTCAGGGCCCATCAGACCTATCATTCGTTGAACTATGGGAGACGGGCGGCTAGTGCTTGGAACTTTGACGTTTACCGTATGGCTAGATGATTCCATTTGACTTTGATATTCTTAGATTTGCTCGTGTTGATGTTCTGTTGCCGTATTTCCATTTCATGATTCAAGGAATGGGATACAGTACCCTAAATTGTATAGTTATATATGATCATATATATATATATATATATGCATGTATGTTCCACATAGTGTTTCTTAAGACGTGGATTTGCTAAAGCGACTTCAAGGTTTTTTCCAACGCGCTTGGAGCCGCACGTCAGAATTTCGATTTGAATATGTGAGAACGCTAACATATGAGCTAGAAAAATACATCCAAAACAATAAACCCGATTACACAAAAGAATTAAGATATAATGTGATATTCAGGACTGACCATATGTGTGTATATGTGCACTATATTTGTGTATAAATTATATAAAAGGCAAAGAAACACAATAAACGCTCTAATTGCGGAGCATCATTTTGCAAGGCACAATTCGTGTTGCAATTTCATGTAGTTTCCATTGAAATCGAGCTGCAGGATGAGCTTTCTGAGCCTGCTTCCCAAGAATCATGGGAATCGTGGCTACACCCCGCTTTCTATGTGAATACATACTTGTAGTATTGTTTATTTATACATGTATGATATGTATACATATTGATAAACATAAAGTAAACATATAATATTTAATATATATATAATTATATTATATATATATTATATTATAATATATATATATAATATATAATATATATATATAATATAGTATGAAAGGCACTGCCCCGACTATGTTGGGCGTTGTTCTTGTGTTTGTGAACCACCAGCAACCATCATGTGTGAGTCTAAAACATGCGTGAACCGAAGGCATGGATCAGAAACATGGATCACCGAATTTCATTGTGTCGAATAATTTGGAAACAACCATCAGACTGTCGATCTTATTTAAAAAAAACAGTTCAAATAAGATGGCAGTTTGCTGGTAGCTGCTGGTCGTGTTCAATGCCCGGTTAAAAGATTAACATTTCACTTGTCAGAATGTTCACTGCCAGATTGACAATTGTGGTGGCCAAGTGGCCAAGTAATCTCCACAGATACAAATTGTAGAAGAGACAGCCGGAGATCATCGCCACATGTTCTTAGTCGATCTTGCACAACCTTCACAAATACTGCCTGTTTCTGCCTAGAATACGTAGATCATTGTCTTTTGTTTGTATATATATATATATTATATATATATATTATATATATATATATTTGGTTGAACATCTTAATCCCATGGGGCGTCAACATGCGTCAAAAACTCTATGGTTTCTACGGTCGTCAACGGGGCAAGTTAGGCTCCGGCAACGTGCACGGAACGCAGAGCAAGAGCCTGGAAACCCGGTCCTTGCGAGGCTTGAGGTTGATTTAAGCATTAAGCATATATAAAGCGGTGATTTTAGCAAGAAAAAAGAGGGGGTTTCCATAGTCATGGGATACCCCAAGTTCGCTGTTGTTGGTTTATTTCCATGGGAAAATTGGAAAATCCCATGAAGAAATGCTAGCCATAACTGGGGGTAGCCACATGACTCAGGAAACCAACACATTTTCCTGGGGATGACTGATTGGGGAAATGCTGGGACGAATCCATGGATTTTGGGTCACCCTAAAATGAGAGACGGACCGTGGTTCATAGAGCAGTAAGGTTATGAATATGTTTGAAATGTTATGGACATTGTATGTAATTTGACGATTATTTAAAGGGAGTGAAGTTTGCACAACATCGCACAACATGTGTTTTTTTTCATTTTATCAGTATAGTTGTAGGAATCATGATAGAGTGACCATTGCATAGTGATATGAGACATTCATCTATTTATCAACTATGGACTATAAGACGACTGTATGATACAAACCAATATATATATATATAGTGATCATTGTTTTCTTTGTGTAGGTATTGGTTGATTGAGATATTGTCAGTTTGCTCTCTGGGCTGGCCACGGAAAGGCTCAGGCCTGTTTAACAGGCGACCCTGCAACCAGAATGTGGCCTTATGTAAAGCATTCTGAGGACAAGGTGCAATTATCTATTTGATGCCAAACATCCAAACCTGCCAAGGATTGTTGCCCATACCCATGGGGCTGGTGTCTACCTCTATGGAATTCTACTGCTAGTGATTTGTGTATGTTCTTCGTGTATTTTTGGTGACAGAACTTCAGAATACAAAGCACGACAACTCAGCGAAGCTCCAAAGGCGTGATGAAATCAAGAGAAAGGCCAGCTGGGGCTCTGGGCTCTGCGTCATTCCGATAGTAGCGAATCCTTGGGCGAAATCCTCCAAGAAATTTGTGGTGATGGTTTGATATTTCTTGAGTTCAGCATGTTGAACTGAGGCCTCTACTTGGCGATTTCACGGGAATGACTGCAAGGTATTATGCTGTTATCCATATCCATAAGGGTATGGATCCATACCTATTAATACCATTTTTAGTGGATGAACATCCATTTACCAGCTATTTTGATGTTCACCAGGGGTACAAGGTTTTGACACACTGCCAACACAACTAGGTGCTTGAATATGTTGAACCCACCGGACTCAATCCACCAATACCCTTTGTGGAGTTGGCATATTTGCTCGCTCGCTTCAAGACCGAGGTGTGAATCTGACAGCGGTTGTGCAAACATCACCATAGCAAACCTAAGTAACACAATCCTTGGGAAATGGCAAAGAAACCATAGCAAACTCTATAGAAACCATTAGAATCATAGAAACCTAAGTAACCATATGATGGTTTCTAATGATTCTAATGGTTTCTATATGACTTCAAACGTCAATGGACCATCAAAATCTCCCCCCCATTTGGATGATGTTCCCAGGCGAATGAGTTCATCACCAAAAAGAAGGCGGAATTCGCCGCCCAGGCCGGGGAAAAAAATCACCATGACATGGATTTGTTTCGATCAGATGTACCCTCTGGTTATTTAACATAGCCATGGTATAGATGGCCCATAGAAATAGATGGTTTACCTATTAAAAATGGTGATTTTCCATGGCTATGTTAAATAACCAGATGGTAGATGTCATGGATTATTCACATTTTTTGTTGATGAATTGATGAATGATAAAAATCATCCTATTAGTTCAATGGATTAAGATGATGCTCTGATGTTTTTATCCATCTATTTTTGTTGGACTTTGGCGCGACTTTATATATCCAGTTGGGAGGTTCCCAGTGCCACCAAAACGCGTAACGAACTGGCGCAGTTGGCGGAGCGGGACCAGAAGATCGCGGAGTTGACAGCGAAGTTGGCCGAGGCAGTGTGACTGTTGGGACTGATCTTTGGGAGAATAAGAATTCCCGCATCAAACAATAATGATATATAATGATACATATATGCATACGTATGATATTTTCTATTTACATAATTTTATTTATGATATCATATAGTTGCACGTACATATGATATTATATATTATGTATGCAAATAGTTGCATAGATTCTGATGTATGGCCCAGTCATTTGCGAGATCTCAAGGCGCAGGCTGCTCTGGCCCGCGGAGCTGAAGTCGGTCCAGTTGCGGCAGAAACCGAGGCGATTTTCCTGGAAATTAATGGAGATTTATTCGGGACATAGTGGGGGTGTAAGGGGAATTGGATGAGTTATTCATGGGAATTACTGTAATCAATGGGTATAATATCTAATCCCTTCCTCCATCTTCCTCCTATTACTAAACCCCGCCCAAATACTAAAAACTAGTGTCCATCTCCAATTTTTTGAAAATTTCAGATTGGCCAATTTGACTTTTAATTTAATATTAGGGGGAAGCTTCGAAATCCAATTTTTGGCAATATTTTAATCGGGTTATATAAAGAATTTTAATTGATTTTGAGATCGGAAAAAATAGTTTTTATTATTAAGGGTTTTAATTTAATATTAGGGGGAAGCTTCGAAATCCAATTTTTGGCAATATTTTAATCGCGTTATATAAAGAATTTCAATTGATTTTGAGATCGGAAAAAATAGTTTTTATTAAGGGTTTAATTTTATCAATAGGGTTCCCTAATAAAAAATACCCCCATAATACTAAAAACTACCTGCTGTGTTTAGTAATGGGGGGGGGGCGTTTAGTATTAGGAGGCAGGGATTATTAATAAGCCTCCGGTAAAGTGGCGATCGCCAGGGAAATCCCCGAACGATCCATGCAGGGTTATGGCTGGGAAAATCATCGAACCATCCAGTGCCAAACAAACCAACAAAGATGGGATAGGCTTTAACCAACAAACTACAATGTGGGGCCCCCAAACGATAGCTAAGTTGGTTTATAAGTTGGTTAACTATGGTTGATGGTGGATATAACATGATATAACTTTTTGGTATTCATGGGGTTTATAAACCAACAAACATAACTGATTATGGGGCCCCACATTGTAGGGACTCCAGCAACAACTTGACCAAAAAGGCTTGCCAGCACTGGGAAACGTGTCACAGGGATCCAGGACTGTTGCCAGTACTACGGTTCGTCGTTGTTGAAAGATGACAACGATATTTTTGGAAGGTGGTTGGTAAGGGAAACCATGGGAAACCTGTCCACATTCAACCTTCTATCTGGCTTGTGAAAGGGTATGGTCTTGCCAGATATTTGGTGATGTTCAGCAAAGAAATATGTTTGACCAACAGACATCAACAACCATTTTGCTTGACATTGTCTTCACCACCAGCAGTAAACAGACAAGAGAATCAAAAAGAGGAGTTTGACCTCAACCTCTTGGACTGTAATTTCAATTAACAGTGTTTCCAAACATGGTGGTAAATGCCACCAGTTGTTTTTAACACATACCCAGTCGTAAATCGTTACTGCCGATGGTTTACTTAACGAATGAGTATATGAATGGTTTATTTTGGCCAGTAGTTACTGCTGGTTTCCGCATAGACATGATGTTCTTTTCTGAAACCAATCTACAATTATTTTACATTTATTCCAAGGCGTTACAGAAATGTTTAAGCCACCATTTATCTGAATTTCCAGTGGTTTACCCCAAAATTATGCTTTCTACTAAACCACATGTATTTAAACGATTGTGTAAATTGTGTACTTAAAAAAAACAACACATTTAAACCATGGTTTATATGAAATTACATGAAATTACTTTACTTCGAGTGACCCCCATCCTGACAGACTATTCTGCCAAAATTTCTGACATATCGTCTGGAAGTATATATGGCATATATATATATATATATTTGTGCGATTCTATCTGACATTTGACATTCTTTCTGGCATATACCCTTACATTTTATTTGACATACTTTCTGGCATATAATATATACATATACATATATATATAGCTATTTTGACATTCTTTCTGACATTCTATTTGGCATTTTTTTACATTCTTTCTGGCATTTTTTCTGGCATTCCATTAAGGCATTTATTCTTGCATTCCATCTGGCATCGAAATCTATTCTGACATTCTTCTGGCATCTATTCTGACATTCGTTTTAACATTCTTTCTGGCATTCTATTAAGGCATGTATTCTTGCATTCTATCTGGCATCGAAAACTATTCTGACATTCTATTTGGCATCTATTTGACATTATTTTTGACATTCTTTCTGGCTTTCTATTTGGCATACGTTTTGACATTCTATCTGGAATACGGTCTGGCGTTCTATCTGACAGATATTTTGACATTCTGTCTGGCATTCTTTCTGGCTTTCTATCTGACAGATATTCTGACATTCTGTCCGGCATTCGATCCGGCATTCTTTCTGGCTTTCTATCTGACAGATATTCTGACATTCTGTCTGGCATTCTTTCTGGCGTTCTACCTGAGTGATATTCTGACATTCTGTCTGGCATTCTTTCTGACAGATATTCTGACATTCTGTCTGGCATTCTTTCTGGCTTTCTATCTGACAGATATTCTGACATTCTGTCTGGAATTCTGTCTGGCGCTCTATCTGACAGATATTCTGACATTCTGTCTGGCATTCTTTCTGGCGTTCTATGCAGATATTCTGACATATCTTCTGGCATTCTTTCTGGCATTCTATCTGACAGAAATTCTGACATTCTGCCTGGCATTCTGTTTGATATTCTGACATTCTGTCCGGCATTCTATCCGGCATTCTTTCTGGCATTCTATCTGACAGAAATTCTGACATTCTGTCTGGCATTCTGAGAGATATTCTGACATTCTGTCCGGCAATCTATCCGGCATTCTTTCTGGCGTTCTATCTGACAGATATTCTGACATTCTGTCCGGCATTCTTTCTGGCATTCTATCTGACAGATATTCTGACATTCTGTCTGGCATTCTTTCTGACAGGTATTCTGACATTCTGTCTGGCATTCTTTCTGGCGTTCTATCTGACAGATATTTTGACATTCTGTCTGGCATTCTTTCTGGCTTTCTATCTGACAGATATTCTGACATTCTGTCCGGCATTCGATCCGGCATTCTTTCTGGCTTTCTATCTGACAGATATTCTGACATTCTGTCTGGCATTCTTTCTGGCGTTTTATCTGACAGATATTCTGACATTCTGTCCGGCAATGTATCCATGTGTTCAGGTCGAGGCGTGGCCCACTGCATCCGGAACTGGGAGGAAGACATGACTGATTCGACTAGGTGAAGGAGAACGAGTGAGGGAGTTGCACTTTTGTTAAAATCTGGAGACCCTCACCTGGCAGGTGGGGAATCATCAAACATTGAAATGTTGAGAATACTTGATAAATGAAAACAAACCACTGTGGTTTATTTGACCAATTTTAACCAAAAACCACACCCTGAGGCCCCCGAACCTCCATCAGCCAGGTCGCGGCGGCTACGCCTGGAAGCAGTGCGGCTGCGGATTCCCCAGAGGTCCGGGGACTTTTGGGTCGCAAGTTTCACTGCATGCGGATGCAAATTGAAATGGCATGAGATTTTATTATGTAGTGATATGTATATTTAGGTATACGTATAGATATTTGTACATAATTGTAATTACCGAAGGAAGTTTAGAAGTCAAACTTCCGACTATATGGACAGATGAAAAGCAGAGATGGGAAGAGTCAGAGAGAAGAGAAGAGTAGAAGAGAGAAGATCAGAGAAGAGAAAGAGTCAGAAGAAAGAAGATGCAGATGCGCGAAAAGGCAGGAAAGTCGCGAAACACTGTGTTTTTCCAATGATTTGTGGCTCCGGAGGGTCGAAAAGTAGGCTCGCTAAAGCGGCGGGCGCGGAGCCATCTGGCCAGATGAGAGATGACAAATTGCACGCCGTTGTGGCGCGAAGCACATGTCGAAGTCAAAATGTACAAAGCACACCATTCTCGGACCACTTTTGGAAGTTGAGATGTCAAAAAAGTGCACGCCGTTGTGGCGCGAAGTACATTTCGAAGTCAAAATGTACAAAACACTTCAGTGTCGGACCGCTTTTGGAAGTCGAGATGTCGAAAAAGTGCACGCCGTTGTGGCGCGAGGCAAAAATGTTAAACACCAGGGTTCGGACCACTTTTAGACGTTCAGATGTCATTCCGCGTGGCAGGCGCAAGGGATTGTGGACCTTGTCAAAAGTGAGCAAAACGTGAGGGTTTGTGGTAGCATTTCCAAAAACGATGCCGGGCGTGGGACATTTGAAGAGGATCTGCAAAGATGCATTTTCCGTGGCAGGCGCAGTACAAGAGACATCTTCATCAGAGCTGTTAGGAGGTCCGGGCGCTGATTTCCTGAGAAGGGTTCCATTTTGGAGCCTCAAATCTTCAGGTTTGCTGAGATGATTTTGCGTGACAGGTGCAGCACTTCGTATGACCTGGCATCACTTTTTCGTGGCAGGAGCAGTGCTTTAGACAGGTGGACTGGAAAAATCGCAAAATGCATTGGTACGAGGCCGTCAGCTCTGCACTCAACTTTCCATTTTTGAAGGAAGTCTTGCAGAATTCTTTCGTCTTTGATGTTGTCAATTTCGAAACATGAGGAAGTCTTGCAGAATTTCTTCGTTTTCGATGTTGTCACGTTCAAACATTGAGGAAGTCTCGGAGAATTGCTGCGTTTTTGATGTTGTCAACTTTGAAACACGAAGAAGTCTCGAAGAATTGCTTCGTTTTTGACGTTGTCAAGTTCAAACATTGAGGAAGTCTCGGAGAATTGCTGCGTTTTTGATGTTGTCAACTTTGAAACATGAAGAAGTCTCGAAGAATTGCTTCGTTTTTTACGTTGTCAAGTTCAAACATTGAGGAAGTCTCGGAGAATTGCTTCGTTTTTGACGTTGTCAAGTTCAAACATTGAGGAAGTCTCGGAGAATTGCTTCGTTTTTGACGTTGTCACGTTCAAACATTGAGGAAGTCTCGGAGAATTGCTGCGTTTTTGATGTTGTCAACTTTGAAACATGAAGAAGTCTCGAAGAATTGCTTCGTTTTTTACGTTGTCAAGTTCAAACATTGAGGAAGTCTCGGAGAATTGCTTCGTTTTTGTTGTTGTCAACTTTGAAAAATGAAGAAGTCTCGCAGAATATCTTGGTTTTCAAGCTTGCAGATAGACAGGTAGATAGACAGACAGACAGAAAGAGAGATAGATAGATAGATAGATAGGTAGGTAGGTAGGTAGATAGATAGATAGATAGACAGCTTGATAGATAGATAGATTAGATTAGATTAGATTAGATTAGATTAGATTAGATAGATAGATTAATAAGATAGATTAGTTAGATAGATTAATTGGATGGATAGATAGATAGATAGATAGATAGATAGATTGATAGATAGGTAGGTAGGTAGGTAGGTAGATAATCAAAGAAAGAGAGAGAAAGAGAGAGAGAGAGAGAGACAGAGTGGAGACATCAACCACCTTTCGGTCCATCAGTGGATTCGCTCTGCCATCCGTGATTCACAGCAACCAGCCTCTCCTATAGGTTTCCTATTTTTGAAACTTCCGCCACCGCCTTGTGCGGTACTAGTGGTAATTATATCTGCTCAGGGTGGTTCCTGGCATTTATGTTTGTTGGTTTTGTTACTAACCCGTCTAACTATGGGTATATACATATATATATATATATGTTTCAAAAACCCAACAGATAACATACCGAAGTTATATATATATATATGTATATATTATATATATATATACACATATTGATTGATATGCAACCAACACTGTTTGATGCTTCCAGTTGCTTGCCGTTCCTGCTTGCGCTCCTCAGGATTCAGCACCGGCTGCCCCTGACAGTGCTGCTTCAGTTCCCTCCGAGGAGAGGAGTGAAGTGGTGAATTCCCAGGGTTTGGGGGGTTAAGAAATGACACGTATATGTATAAAGCGGATGGTGAGTGTGATAGCACAATGAATGGCAACACACACACATATATATAATTTATATATATACATACTTAAATACATTATAATACATTATATATATATACACACACGTCAATGTTATATATATACTATACAATTGCATTGTAGTATACATAACCAAGAACTCTTTGTGGTTCCCACCATTTTCTTTATTCATCCCCCTTCCAGGTCTTAGAGGAAATGGCCAATGACATCTGACCCGTTGGCGCATTGAGGACGGTGGATTGAAACGTTGGCGAGAATAGCCAGCAACGATCCTCCGAGTAGCCAGCAAAACTGTAGTAAAATGATGGAAAAACCAACAAAAATGGTGATATGACCAGCAAACAGTGTGATATAGCCAAAATGTTAATTTTTCTACGGGTAGGGTTTTTTAGCCATCAAAGATCGTGACATAACTATATAGCAAAAATGGCGGATATCAAATGGTTTGGTGAGGATTTAAAATCTGGACGAATCTGGACGAAACCCTTTCGAACAAAACGATAAGGGAGAACTCTTGACTACTGAAACCAACACAGAGGAAAAAATATATGATATTGGCATGTTGATGGCAGAAATGGTTGAGATGTTTCAAGTAGCTACAGTTATACACTGTTGTGAATGTTTCTGCGCCAATTATTGGTAGAATGTGGGTTGATGTATGTTGATCCACCACATGTGTTGAGTTTCAATCCCAGCTGCGTAGAGGCTGACTTTTTATCAGAGGGCCCCAGCTGGATCCACTGAACACGGAGTATAGCCCCTCATATTGGTTCACATGGGGTTGACGTGGGGTTGATATGGGGATGGGTCAAAACTGTTACAAATAAATAAATAAATATATATATATATATATTGTATACCAATGTTTGAAAGTTGATTGGCATTATCATCCCGTTTTTAGACATATATGATGGTACAATATATTAATTGCGGATGATGCGGATGTATGCCACATGACACGAAGTCTTCCATTTGGGCAAACTCTTTGAGGATGTTGAGACCAGACAATGGACCCATGCCCATATCATTCCCTTTCAGCGAGACCCCGAAAGGACACGCTGTTGCGACCACCATTTGCTCGCTTGAAGAAAATCATCATCTCGTGGAGCTTGCAACTGATAGCACCGGGAATGTTCTGTGCAAAACATGAGACTTTCTGAATTTCAAAGAATGCAACATGTGAGAATTCGAGGGGGGGTCTAAAAAGGGGGTATACTAGTCACTGGTCTAAATGGTTGTTCACCATTATCATCGCCATTGGCAATCATAAGAGCGACTTGCTTTGCTATGCTTTGAGTTTGGGTTCAACCCGCTTGGTTTCTCAAATGCTCTTTATGGCCGGTATCCACGAAGCATAAAGACCCAGGCTGTGGTGACCTCAGCACAGTGACAACTTTCAGCCGCCAGCCACTTGTGCAGCGTTTGGCTCAGTGAACATGGAGATAAATCTCCATCAGTCTTCTGTTGGGGAAAAATGGGAAAAATACTCAAGTGGATTGCCCAAACTTGCACACCTCTGTTTGAAGTAAGGTATGTCGTATGTATTGTATTTTTAATTACATATTACAGTGTATGTATATATATAATTATATATACATATTTAATATTTTTTGTATTTATATATATTCAAGCAATAAAAATCATCAACATATTCGTGCTTAAAGATTTTGAAGTCGCAGGACATCACCAAGGCACCCTTGGAGTATTCACTCTTGGGATCAAGTGTTGGGCATGCCAGCTATGACATTACATTCACAACTGCACCGGCGGGTGATTTTGTTCACCTTTTTTCCTTGACCCAAATCACTGATTGTTCCATCCACACTGCAGGACACCTCCATTTTCCCGTCATTTTGCCATCATTTTACCAAACAAATAGGGCGCCACTTCCAATGAGTTCCACATCATCAAGCAGCGCACAGCTTCATCGCCTTCCTCGTCCAATGGCGCGCCGTGGCATCGCCAACTACGAACCCGCGCAGCCGAATGAGTTCAACATCTTCTGGCAGGAGATCCTGCGACATGGGAACGATGGCATCAGTGGGAGCCTTGCCAACTTTTTCCGTCATATTTTGCTTTCAAAGAGTTGGGAATAGGAATATAGCTGAGGGAAGTATGATAAAAATGAGGTAGACATTTGATATAAGTAAGAAGCATTGGGATTCAAGTGGTTATACCATGTTATGCCCTCTGGTAAATTCACATGGCTGGCGGAAATTGGATAGTTTAAGGGATATGCCAACGAAACGGCGATTTTGATCAGCAGCAGACACTGTTCGAATTGTGGCACTTACTGTGTCACTCGTGTAAATCTATAAGTGCACGTACTCCTCTGTTGATGAATGCTCATGGGTGTTGATGGTTTGAGACAAAGCCTGTTGATTTCACCGTATACAATGGGAATTCATGGGATATATGATATATATATATATGTACAAAAAGCCCATAACATCCGATATAATTATATAATCCTATATATAATATGTATATATATGATTATATATGGTTATCCACTTACAGTCACTTGCAACTGGAACATTATTCCCGTTTGCACGACGATTCGTTGCTTCTAATCTCCATTCTGGTAAACTAACAAAGCTATTGAACATGTAACATGGCCATATATCGAAATAGTTGATTTACCCAGCTATAACATCGTGATTGTCCAGTTCGTTATGTAAACGTTTACCAGAGGGTATGAATCATAACCATGCTTTTCTGATTGGTGTCTTCAAATACGTGCTATGTTCAATCATCTTTGGGATGATCATGATGATCCCCAATAGCCATTTTTCGGGGATTTTTCGGGGAAACCGGCAAACCACCAAGCAGTTATCAGGTTGCGATAAAAATCATCAACCATCTGGGTATGGGTCAAAATTAGGTACCCCAAAATTATGGATGGTTAATACTAAACTAGACTAACATCTGTGGTTCCCTAGGTCTTCCATTTTGACCCACATCCATCTCAATGAAGCAATCCACATCTCCAAAGACTTGCACCATGGCATTCAACCGAGGATTAAACAAGCCTACGATCTTCCGCCCAAGAGCCAGGGCCATTTCCGCGAAGTGACCACCACCAATCGCCCCTCGGCAATGGCATGCTCTGATCTGCGATCCAAGAAGTGTTGATGATTTGTACCAGGTTTTACCCTCTGGTAAACTAACATAACCATGGAAAATCACCTATTTCTTTTAAAGGTAAATCAACTATACATGGGCAATTTTCAATTGCTATGTTAAATTACCAGAGGGTAGATGGCTTTAGTTCCATTATGTTCCATTGCTCAATCGACTTTTTGACCAATCCCGCATAAGTTCAACTCTTCAGATTTCGTTACTTTGCTGCATTTGATGCTCAACATTCCATGTTGTAACTCACAAGTAACCCATGTTTCATCCAAATTTGGAAGATTTTGGAAGCATGTTCCCAGGTGTTGGTTCCTTGTTCCCCAATTTTCTTAGGTTTTGCCAACACTTTCCCAAGTTTTATCATGTTTTCCATTGTTTTCCCCTGCATGTTCCAAGCTGTTTGATGGTTTTCCCAGATTATTGCTGGTGTTTGTAGTGTTTCCACTTTACACTCCACACTCGACACTTTACACTCCACACTCTACACTTTACACTCACTCTCCACACTCTACACTTTACACTTTACACTCCACACTCTACACTTCACACTTTACACAGAGTTCTACACTTTTCACTTTACAGTTTACACTGCGCACTGCGCACTGTCGCACTGTACACTTTACACTCCACACTCTTCACTTTACACTTTACACTCAACACTCTACACTTTTCACTTTGCAGTACACAGTTCACACTTTACACTTTACACAGTTCACACTCTACACTTTACACAACACTCCACACTCTACACTTCAGACTTACCACTTTTCACACATTTCACACTTTACACTCTTTTCACACTTTTCACTCCACACTCTACACTTTACACAGTAAAGACTTGCTTTATGATCTACACTCCACACTCTACACTTTACTCGACACTACACTACACTTTGCACTCCACATTGCACACTCTACGCTTTGGGCTTTACACTTAACCTCCACGCTTTACTCTCCACACTTTACACTCCACACTACACTTTACACTCCACACTCGGCACTTTACGCTCCATACGCTGGACTTTACACGTTACACTCCACACACCACACTTTACACTCCACACTCTACACTCCAAACTTTAGACTTTTCACACTTTACACTCTGTTCACACTTTTCACACTTTTCACTCCACACTCTACACTTTGCACAATTCACACTTTACACTCCACACTCCACACCACTCCACAGTTTACACTCCACACTCTACACTACACTTTACACTTTGCACTCCACACTCTACACTTTACACTCCACACTTTACACTTTACACTCCACACTCTACACTTTGCACTCCACACTCTACGCTTACACTTTACACTTTGCACTCCACAGTATACACTTTACACTCCACACTCTACACTTTACACTCGGCACCCTGCACTCTACACTTAAAAACCCGCACTCTACAGTGGGAGACCAGCAGTTAGAATTTGGAATCAATGGATTTCCTTTTAACCTAAAAAATCCAGGATTATTTTTTTTTTACGACAGTTAGAATTTCCCGAAAAAAAACACCACAGATAGAATGTGAACATATTCACAAAGAAAACAAACAAATTTTACCGTACCAACCGACCTTATTGAAAACTTTGGCCAACACAATCTACTGCATGTGTCTCTTTCAGCATGTTGGAAAACGGGACAGAACCCATGCAAGAACAAACATGGTGAAAATTGCATTGCGCAAGTTGGTTGCTGGTATTTTGTGCGGTTGTGTGGTGCTGCTGGTTCTGGTGGTGAAGTGAGTGATGAAAAAAACCATCCAAACACATCCATATTCTAACTGCACTTTTCACCACCAGAATTCACAAAGAAAACAAACAAGTTTTACCGTACCAACCAACCTTATTGAAAACTTTGACCAACATAATCTACTGCATGTGTCTCTTTCAGCATGTTGGAAAACAGGACAGAACCCATGTAAGAACACACATGGTGAAAACTGCATTGCGCAAGTTGGTTGCTGGTATTTTGTGCGGTTGTGTGGTGCTGCTGGTGTTGGTTGCGAAGTAAGTGAGGGAAAAAACCATCCAAACCTATCCATATTCTAACTGCACTTTTCACCACCAGAGTTCAAAAAGAAAACAAACAAGTTTTACCGTACCAACCTACCTCGGGAAAACTTTGGCCAACATAATCTGCTGTAGGTGTATCTTTCAGCATGTTGGAAAACAGGACAGAACCCATACAAGAACAAACATGGTGAAAATTGCATTGCGCAAGTTGTTTGCTGGTATTTTGTGCGGTTGTGTGGTGCTGCTGGTGTTGGTTGCGAAGTGAGTGATGAAAAAAAAATCCAAACCTATCCATATTCTAACTGCACTTTTCACCACCGGAATTCACAAAGAGTACAAACAAGTTTTACCGTATCGACCGACCTCGTGAAAGCCTTGACCAACATCGTCTACTGTACGCGTTTCTGTCACCACGTTCGAAAACAGGACAGGATCCATGCAAGAACAAATATGGTCAAAACTGCATTGCGCAAGTTGTTTGCTGGCATTTTGTGCGGTTGTGTGGTGCTGCTTGTTTGTTGCGAAGTGAGTGAGGGAAAAAAACCATCCAAACCTATCCATATTCTAACTGCACTTTTCACCACAAGAGTTCACAAAGAAAACAAACAAGTTTTAAAGTACCAGCCAACCTCGGGAAAACTTTGGCCAACATAATCTGCTGTATGTGTCTCTTTCAGCATGTTGGAAAACAGGACAGAACCCATGCAAGAACAAGCATGGTGAAAATTGCATTGCGCAAGTTGTTTGCTAGTATTTTGTGCGGTTGTGTGGTGCTGCTTGTTGGTTGCGAAGTGAGTGATGGAAAAAAAACATCCAAACCTATCCATATTATAACTGCACTTTTCACCACCAGAATTCACAAAGAAAACAAACAAATTTTACCGTACCAACCGACCTTATTGAAAACTTTGGCCAACACAATCTACTGCATGTGTCTCTTTCAGCATTTTGGAAAACGGGACAGAACCCACGCAAGAACAAACATGGTGAAAATTGCATTGCGCAAGTTGTTTGCTGGCATTTTGTGCGGTTGTGTGGTGCTGCTGGTGTTGGTGGTGAAGTGAGTGATGAAAAAAAACAATCCAAACACATCCATATTCGAACTGCATTTTCCACCACCAGAATTTACAAAGAAAACAAGCAAATTTTACCGTACCAACCAACCTTATTGAAAACTTTGACCAACATAATCTACTGTATGTGTCTCTTTCAGCATGTTGGAAAACAGGACAGAACCCATGCAAGAACAACATGGTGAAAATTGCATTGCGCAAGTTGTTTGCTGGTATTTTGTGCGGTTGTGTGGTGCTGCTGGTGTTGGTTGCGAAGTGAGTGAGGGAAAAAAAACCATCCAAACCTATCCATATTCTAACTGCACTTTTCACCACCAGAGTTCACAAAGAAAACAAACAAGTTTTACCGTACCAACCGACCTCGGGAAAACTTTGGCCAACATAATCTGCTGCATGTGTCTCTTTCAGCATTTTGGAAAACAGGACAGAACCCATACAAGAACAAGCATGGTGAAAATTGCATTGCGCAAGTTGTTTGCTGGTATTTTGTGCGTTTGTGTGGTGCTGCTGGTGTTGGTGGTGAAGTGAGTTTCAAAAAACAATCCAAACACATCCATATTCGAACTGCATTTCCACCACCAGAATTCACAAAGAAAACAGACAAGTTTTAAAGTACCAGCCAACCTTATTGAAAACTTTGACCAACATAATCTACTGTATGTGTCTCTTTCAGCATGTTGGAAAACAGGACAGAACCCATGCAAGAACACACATGGTGAAGATTGCATTGCGCAAGTTGTTTGCTGGTATTTTGTGCGGTTGTGTGGTGCTGCTGGTGTTGGTTGCGAAGTGAGTGATGAAAAAAAAAATCCAAACCTATCCATATTCTAACTGCACTTTTCACCACCGGAATTCACAAAGAGTACAAACAAGTTTTAACGTATCGACCGACCTCGTGAAAGCCTTGACCAACATCGTCTACTGTACGCGTTTCTGTCACCACGTTCGAAAACAGGACAGGATCCATGCAAGAACAAATATGGTCAAAACTGCATTGCGCAAGTTGTTTGCTGGCATTTTGTGCGGTTGTGTGGTGCTGCTTGTTTGTTGCGAAGTGAGTGAGGGAAAAAAACCATCCAAACCTATCCATATTCTAACTGCACTTTTCACCACAAGAGTTCACAAAGAAAACAAACAAGTTTTAAAGTACCAGCCAACCTCGGGAAAACTTTGGCCAACATAATCTGCTGTATGTGTCTCTTTCAGCATGTTGGAAAACAGGACAGAACCCATGCAAGAACAAGCATGGTGAAAATTGCATTGCGCAAGTTGTTTGCTAGTATTTTGTGCGGTTGTGTGGTGCTGCTTGTTGGTTGCGAAGTGAGTGATGGAAAAAAACATCCAAACCTATCCATATTATAACTGCACTTTTCACCACCAGAATTCACAAAGAAAACAAACAAATTTTACCGTACCAACCGACCTTATTGAAAACTTTGGCCAACACAATCTACTGCATGTGTCTCTTTCAGCATGTTGGAAAACGGGACAGAACCCACGCAAGAACAAACATGGTGAAAATTGCATTGCGCAAGTTGTTTGCTGGCATTTTGTGCGGTTGTGTGGTGCTGCTGGTGTTGGTGGTGAAGTGAGTGATGAAAAAAAACAATCCAAACACATCCATATTCGAACTGCATTTTCCACCACCAGAATTTACAAAGAAAACAAACAAGTTTTACCGTACCAACCAACCTTATTGAAAACTTTGACCAACATAATCTACTGTATGTGTCTCTTTCAGCATGTTGGAAAACAGGACAGAACCCATGCAAGAACAAACATGGTGAAAATTGCATTGCGCAAGTTGTTTGCTGGTATTTTGTGCGGTTGTGTGGTGCTGCTGGTGTTGGTTGCGAAGTGAGTGAGGGAAAAAAACCATCCAAACCTATCCATATTCTAACTGCACTTTTCACCACCAGAGTTCACAAAGAAAACAAACAAGTTTTACCGTACCAATTGACCTCGGGAAAACTTTGGCCAACATAATCTGCTGCATGTGTCTCTTTCAGCATTTTGGAAAACAGGACAGAACCCATACAAGAACAAACATGGTGAAAATTGCATTGCGCAAGTTGGTTGCTGGTATTTTGTGCGTTTGTGTGGTGCTGCTGGTGTTGGTGGTGAAGTGAGTTTCAAAAAACAATCCAAACACATCCATATTCGAACTGCATTTCCACCACCAGAATTCACAAAGAAAACAGACAAGTTTTAAAGTACCAGCCAACCTTATTGAAAACTTTGACCAACATAATCTGCTGTATGTGTCTCTTTCAGCATGTTGGAAAACAGGACAGAACCCATGCAAGAACACACATGGTGAAGATTGCATTGCGCAAGTTGTTTGCTGGTATTTTGTGCGGTTGTGTGGTGCTGCTGGTGTTGGTTGCGAAGTGAGTGATGAAAAAAAATCCAAACCTATCCATATTCTAACTGCACTTTTCACCACCGGAATTCACAAAGAGTACAAACAAGTTTTACGTATCGACCGACCTTGTGAAAGCCTTGACCAACATCGTCTACTGTATGTGTCTCTTCAGCATGTTGGAAAACAGGACAGGACCCATGCAAGAACAAATATGGTCAAAACTGCATTGCGCAAGTTGTTTGCTGGCATTTTGTGCGGTTGTGTGGTGCTGCTGGTGTTGGTTGCGAAGTGAGTGAGGGAAAAAAACCATCCAAACCTATCCATATTCTAACTGCACTTTTCACCACAAGAGTTCACAAAGAAAACAAACAAGTTTTAAAGTACCAGCCAACCTCGGGAAAACTTGTATCTGTGAGCTAAAAAAATCATATTCTATCTCCTGGTCTGCTTGAGCAATCTATATGTATGATAAGTGCAAATTATTGCAACTATGTGTTAGTTTATCATGTTGGAGGTGCGATTCTTGGATTTGGGTTTGGAGTCTAGACAATTGGATGATCAATTGTTTTGGGTATGTATGATTCATAATGCTCATATTCTAACTGCACTTGTGCCATATTCTAACTCCAGATGCGTTGGCTTTTAGAACAGTGTCCGTAGACCGTATTCTATCTCTGGTAAAAGATTTTTCATATTCTAAGTGCCTGTCCCTCACAGTACACTTTTCACTTTACACCCCACACTCTACAGTTTCCACTTTATGCTCCACACGCTGCACTGTACACTTTACACTCCACACTCTACACTTTAAATACTACACTTTACGCTCTGCACTCCGCACTCTACACTCTTCACTTCACACTCACTTTTCACTTCACACTCTACACTTGACACTTCGCACTCTACACTCCGCACTCTACAACTTTACGCTTTACACTCCGCACTCTACACTTCACACTTTACACTCCACACTTTATACACTCCACAATTCACACTCCACAATCCCATTTCACACTCTGCGGCAATCCGCCCCATTCCACACTCCACAGTCTACGCTGGTACCGTAACAGGAGAAAACATGCAATCACTTGTTTCACAAAAGTGTTTTGTGTGACATTCAGGTTCGTTGGTTGGTCTGGTGTTCATTTTCCCTGATTATTTTACATCTTCCTGATGGCTTTTCCTATGGTTTCCCGGTGGAGCTCCCAGGGGAGCTGCTGAAGCACCCCCGCGACTTTGCCTTGGCGGCCAAGAGCCGCGAGCTCCGTGCGGCGCTGGCGGAGCCCAGCGGATGCTTCGGCCTCGCAGGGCGCAGCTCGTGGCATTACAACGTGCATCGACCGCTGGGGAGGAAGGCGATGGAGCTGGGGCCGAGAATGGCCGAGAATATCTGTGGAACTGGAATTAAGAAATCATGAAATAGTCAAAAAGGAAAAAGGGAGATAGATGATAGATGGGGATGGGGATGTGGATATGGATATTGATATTTTTTGGATATATACTACACATATCTATACATATGATATAGAAAATGAGATAAAATTATATAGTATATATTATGATGGTACATTCATACACGCACACACACACACTATATATATATATATATATACATGCATATTTAATTATGGAAGGAAAATTCTGGTGACTACGGGTATCTAGCTGGTGTAGAATTCGGGGTTGGGCGGTGATAGCTGGGGGAAATTGATGTTTCTTACCATGGAGGGCGCCAAAATCATCCCTTAAATTGCTAATTTTGGATGGTCAATCCAATGGTTTCGTGGATCCCAAATATTAAAAATTAACCATAATTATGTATATATATATATATTTAATATAATACATATATTTATGTATATATAGACATTAATATATATATATATATGTATATGTATGTATATACATTATACGCATCATCACATTATCTCCAATGAAGCTGGGATGTTTATGGGGATGGGTTTGGGTTTGCTTTAAAGCCTTCTGTCCCAGGGGCGCCGCTTACGACTTTAAACCAATGCTTGAATTTGATGGGGCCGACGGGAAGCATGGCCAACAATCAAAATAGAAGGTCAGTCGGAAATCCTATATAGTTTCAGTAATAAACATTAGAAACTGTTCTACAAACATATTCGAACTAAGCAAATGTGCGGATTATACATATTAATTATTATCCACATAACTAACAAAAACTGAAGCAAAGGGACTAACCGGATTGCAGTTTTCTCCGGGAGCATTTCGATCATCTCTGCTGCTACACAAGCCAAGCAGCAACACAGTCATGAACGATCGCTCATGCTACCAACAGGGGCTTTGCAAGGCTCTACCCATTGACAGCTGGAAACTAGTTCTTGTATTCCTGGGTCAGTGGGGTCTGAACTGTCAAACATATTTAATAGTCATCCTATACATGCAAGGTGGTGTCCCCCCCAGTTATAAGTTGGTGTTTAAACCCATCGAACTGTGGATATATCTAATTACCATAAACCCAATAGGCTAACACAGCTTGGCTAAGTAGGGGGCACCACCTTTTATACAATGTATATATACAGGGTACCCCCGCATATATATATATATGTATATATATGTATATATATATATTTACACATACATAGATGTGGGGTTATGTATGGATATGTATGGTTATATTTGTCATCCATCAATCCACCAGTGAGCTGGTCGGCCAAATTGACTCGTCCTATCCGCAGATGAAGATCCACCAGATTGCTTCGGCCAGATTCGACGGTGGCGAACTTCCTCACCTGGGTTCTTGTGCTTCGGAAATCAACCTTTTTTGTTGGTGAAATCCGCCTGTTTTTGTAGCCAATTTCTAATTTTTGTGCGGTGAATCCCTATTTTCGCTATTTTCATGGTTCAATCCCAAATTTTGCTGATGAAATTTCCAGTGTTCTTGGTTAAATCATGAATTTGGTTGGTCAAATCCACAATTTGCCACTTGCTAACCAGCACTTGGAAACCAAACGGACCAGGTTTCTCCTCAACTTCCACAGACCAGCGTGGTCAATTTGGAGGAGCTGCGAATGATTGTATGATGGTATGATCTATCCATGTGTTTGTTTATATTTGTATCATGTTGTAATTGTATCTATCTTTCTTACCTTGTGGTTCTTATGTTATCTTGCGTTATCTATCTATCTTACAGGTGATACAGGTGATAGCCTATATTGTGTGAATCAAAAGAGCGCTCTACATGGGGGATGACACGATGGCATTGGGGACATGCTGCTCGTATTGAAAAAATGCTCAAACAGTTGCAAATATGTACCTCAAAGGACTTCAGCGATGACAGGTGATGCTTCACATAATCATCCCAAAGTTTGGATTTTATATAAATTTAAAAATAATTATATAGATATAAATATAGATCTTAATATAAATGAATAAACACACATGTATATGTATATCATACATACGTACATATTACGGACATACTACACGGGCATCGATTTTCACTGTTGTTATTTATCTTTGTGCGCGTGTATTTTTGGGTGGTTCCTCCAATTGTTGGCAACCTCCAAGGCGTAAAGGTTGAATTCACGGTAACTTGAGTTAGTTCAACTTTGGTCGGTGTACTTCGCATTTGTTTACATAATATAATCAATATAATATACATACATATATATATATATATTATACGTATTATATTACATATATAATGTTCTATATCATAACATTATATGTATTTACATATACATATTAAATGTTATAATATTATTTAATACCTATTATAATATTATATGTATATTATATTGTATATTACATGTATATTATACATATTATATTGTATATTATATATTATATTATATAATATATATATATATAATATTATATATATAATGATTATTATAATATACATACATATACATAGAGGATACTTGAACATCTGATAGACCACCACTTGTACCTGGCATAATCTTTTGCAGAGATCAGTCCCTGCCAGGAGGAAATGCACCGTTTTCGCCAAGGGTCCCAGCATCACCAAGACCAAAGACGGAGTCAGGTGCGGGTCACATGGATAAAACGTTGAAGTCGAAGGGTGGTGTTTGCCACATGGGTATTTGTTTGATTATTGATACATTAAAGAATAGATAGATACGATAGATCCAAACAACGTATCACACATGTGTCGTTAAATACATTTATTTGCGTTAATCTATTTATATATAACTATAATATATTTATAGATAGATACACACTTAATTACACTACGTAGTTAAGCACGCAAGAGTCGAGATGTAGATCAGACCCCTTGCGCACGCGCCTTGCCGGCCAATGGGATCGGAACAAGATGATCCGAGAGGATCCGAGGATCAGCTCATGTGAAATGGAAGGCACATGGTGGACATCTACTTTATATATAAACTTAGATACACATTATCATATAGTTGGTACATGTATATATACATATATATATACCATATATATATATTGTATATATGTTTATATATATGTATGATTATATATATATGATTATATATGATATTAATTATATCTAAATATAGGGATATGGGGATACGTAATTATTTCGAAGACGTGATACCTCAATGACAATTTATTCAACTGGTGTCGCTTTTTACGATGACTTCAGTTCGATCAAATGTTCAAACTAGTACAAGTCGCTGATCAAACGGCTATATACCCTCTGGTAACTTAACATAGCTATTGAAAATGGCCATGTATAGTGAGTTTTCCGATTAAAAATTGTGATTTTCCATAGTTATGTTAGTTTACCAGAGGGTGTATATATATATATTTTTTTTTGGAAGTGAAACAATTTGCATCCCTGGGAAGATGTTCACGTGAGACTGACAGTCATTTCTTTTGTCGCCGCGAAATCAGAAAGCTTAACATCATGGGAAAAAAGCTCGAAAATAAGTGAAAGAGCCTTGAACCTGCAAAAACATTCGTTTTCGGGGTCCTTATTTTCAGGCAAGCTCATTGGTTGTCCCTGCCCAAAATTTAATCAGCCAAGGCAACATCCCCAGCAGACTCGGCATTGTCACCACAAAGTTGCAACAAAGTGGTGTCCCCCAGTTATGTTGGTTGGTTTATAAGCCCATCTGACTACGGATATATCATGATATATCTTCCAAAAACTCCACAGTTGACCTACTGAACTAAACCAATTAAACCAACTAAACCAACTTAGCAATTGATTACCCATAGGATCCATGTATGGTATATATGCTAACATTTGGGGTATATTGATGGTAAATGTTACCATATATAGCATACATGGATCCTATGGGTTTGGGGCAGTGCCGTCTCCATTTTTCCCGCAGGTCACTGTGGTCACTTACCATCGCAAGCGTCCAGTCGCCCAACGCCCAGCGGCTTGGTTTCTGGAATACCCAACGGTACCCGGATGGTACCCCAACTAGCTGCTGAATGGATGGTTATTCCCCCAAAATATGGCAAGAATAGGTTTTGACCCATCATATATCTGATATATCTATGATTCATCGGGGTTATAAAGATGTTATAAGCCAACGAACATAAATGAAGATTGAGGGATACCACCTGGTAGTTTCTTGTATTCAGGATCGTCGTTAGAAATGAAGAATACAATGTGGAAAATTGTGGGTTCGACGGGGGCTCTCACAGGGCCAAAACCTTAGCTACCAGTTGTTAAGTCACAGGGATCGTTGTTAATTGAAACAAAACAGATATAAGAACTGTTTCAATACCCTTCCATGTACAAGTTCCTTCCACCACGGATGTTGAATTTGAACCAGTCGTCATTAGTGTTGAAATCTCCACCGGAAAGCCACCTAATATGACTCACCAATAGCAGCTTTCAATAACATAACATTTTTCTGGATCCTGAACTTGCCTTTCCCAATGTATTTTTGATCTAGCCAATTTAGGTTAAACTGGAAGGTGCAACTGGTTAAATCAAATGCATGTGTTCAATTAGAAACATCCCAATACGTAGATGGTAAAATCATATAGTTCATTGTAACATCACTTTTTTTTCCTATGGTTTACTTCCAATTCTTAGATGGTTCAATCATGTTTTCGATAGTTTCTGCGAAATCCCCAATCCTTGGTGGTCGAATAATAGTGGATAACATGGTAAAATTATGTAAAATTGGTACCCTCTAGTATTCTCAAACATTTTTGCTGGGAAATCCCGAAGATCAATGGCCACTTCAATGGGTTCCCATGATCCAAAAAATATCCCAAAAAAAACATATCCACGGGATATTTTTTCACTGCCATGTTTGATTATCGGAGGGTAAACATCATCATGCCATGTGAGGAGAGTTCAGTCTCCTCCATTCAGGTTTGCTAGGAAGCACTGGACACAGGAAGGGCGAATTCGAAGCCATCTTTAACCAGCCACTTGGTGTTTGTGTCACGAGAGACCTGGGAGTTTTCAACGGGGGACCTGGAGAAA